TTAGAAACCTTTTTAAATTTTAATAATACTAATTAAGTAGTCATTATTTAACGTCATGTTTACTAGTAGATATATTAACTTATTTGTATTCGAATTTAAACACTTTTATAATATTACAAAAGCCTGGATTTTCACTTCCACTGCTAATATACGTTTGTTGCCTTTCTACATTGTAGCATATCGCTTGAGGATATATCAAACCATTCTTCGCCCCAAGTATCACCGTGACGTTACGCAAATCTGGTGTCATCTGATACACGGCATGATGTCGTCTGCTGGAGACACATATTGCGCCAGACGGAGAGATAGTGACGTCATTTGGATCCAACTGCACACTTTGCTGTAAATATTTCAAATTACCACTCCTGTCTATGCACAAAATAAGTTTTGTTTCCTTGTCAGATACATAAATTAACCGTTTCTCTCCACAAACAGCAATGTACCTTGGCGACAGGCATATTTCTTTGGCGTCAGCATTGGCATTTATAGTTGTATTTACCACACCTTTTATTTGTATTATCTGGAATTTAACCGGATCTATAAACGATGCAAACAGTTTCCCGTTCAAACAATCAACATCAAAACACGAACCAGAAACGTTGATATTTCTTTGAACAGAAATTTGAACATCAACATTCAATATCTGGATAACACGGATTTCGGATAGCGCCACTGCCACTTGATTCCCTGAGACTGTAGTTATTCCATATGGTTTAGATTTCAAACCTAAAGCATAGTTTACAACAGATTCATCTAAATCAATGCATTTCACTGATACGTTATTTTGATCGGCAAGAACCAGTTTATTATTTGTTAAAGAAGTCATGGCAACAATACAGCAATTCTTCTTATCTGATGCGACCTTGACATTGATGTCTCTAACGTAATTATACTTTTCATCAAACTTTCCGCTTACGTCGTCAATCGATACGTTATCGTTAGTATGATCCGTGCTTATATGGCTTCTGTAACAATATCTACAGAGGTATTTATCACATCCTGCGCAATAACCCTCCACGCTTATATCTGCACCGGTTGTGGTTTACACGAATCACAAGTTTTAACTGTCATCCATCTTATATATTCTTTATCCAGTAATGTGTGGTGCCTAGTAGCTCTTCCCTTAGAGTGGTCGGTAAAACACGCGGTGCATAAATATTTCTCACAGTCGGAACAAAACCCGTGCGCTTCAATGTGTTTCCCGCCATCGCCACACGGTGCACAGTTGAACTTTAACGGTTCTTTTGTGTTAATGTAAGATGCATAATTCTTCCCTTTAACAATGTGTCTTGACAGTTTCTGTTCTGAGATTTCATCAACTATGTTATTGTCAGAATCATTAACAGTGCCACTTAGTTTGCTGTTTTCCATCTTAAAGGTGATTAACTTCACTTAACAGGAGGTCGATTAATTCAGTAAAGTAAAACAAATATTATTGTATTAAAAAGAAACTTAAAAAATCTTAAAGAAATAGATTAAAACAAATAATCAAATTTTAAAAAAAACATTAATCATATAACGAATTCATTCCTTGTTTCATGTTTATTTAATTTTCCATTTTACATGTGTATTTCAATATCTTTATTCTCTATAAAAAGAAAAAGTTTCAATAGAAATTACACTTGCCAGATCATTGCGTGTTTAAAGAACTAGAGAACCGTGAATTGACAATTCGATATGTTTAAATAAATAGGCTATAAGAGTGTAAGGATTGATTGTACGTTTTAATTAAGACATGGTTTGGTCTAAAATGTATTACTGCCTATTGTTAACATGGTTTTTTCTTAAGTGTATTATTGCCTTTTGTTTAATACCGATGTTTGTTGGTGTTGATGATAGTTTCGTTTATGTATTTGTTTGGTTTATTTTACTTTTTTTTCTACAGTAATAATATAGTGCAGAAAATTAAGCAAATTCTAAAAGGTAACCTCAAGATTTTTACCAATGCATTCACAACTGTAGCACAAAGCTGTGTTATTGTATTAGCTTTCGTTTAAATAATTGAACGCCGGCATAACAAATACCACTGAATGCCATTCACTATTCTTAAATTCACATCTAAATTCTTTAAGTTAATCAATCTTTCAGTTCTTGAATATAATACTTGGTTGCTACCTCCAAGGTCAAGGTCACACTTATAGATTACGTGTTAAATGTCTACATTTCGTTTCCGTTTCTTATCTTTTAAACCGCTGAAATTGTTTTGAAATAGCTTGGCACAATTGATCACCATTATGAAATGATAGGCAGAGGGCAATAATTGGGTTCCTACCCCAAGATCAAGGTCACACGTTAAGGTAAAGTGTAAAAAGTGTACATTTCGTGTCCGCTCCTTAACTTTTAAACTGCTGAAATGATGTGCAGAGGGCATAAATTGGGTTGCTTCCTCCAAGCTTAAGGTCACACTTAAAGTTCAAGTGTAAAAAAATTAAATATTTTGTGTCCGCTCCTTAACATTTGAACTGCTGCAATGTCTTTAATATAACTTGGCTGAAATGATCACTATTATGACATCCATGCAGAGCACAATAAATAGGCACTATCCTTAAGGTCAAGGACACATTCAAAGGTCCAGTGTTAAAACATCTCTCTTTTATGTCCCTCTATAACTTACTGACAGTTCAAAAGTTTTACAATGAACAGCCTGTCTGTCCGTCTTTCCGTCAGTAACACTTTCGTGTCCGCTACATGATTTTCAAACCGCTGAAAAGTTTTTGAAATAACTTGACATTATTATGAAACGATGAGCAGAGTCCAATTATTGGGATAATACCCCAAGGTCATGGACACACTTAATGGTACACAAAGTTTCATGCAGCTGAAATGTTTTTGAAATAACTTGGCACATTAGTGATCACCATTATGAGACGATGTGCAGACCGCGAAAATTAGATTGCTAACTCCAAGGGCACACTTTCAGGTCAAACATAAATGTCACGTGTTTAAAAGTCTACATTTTGTGTCCGCTCCATAACATTTAAACCTCAGCAATGTTTTTAAGAAAACTTTACAGTAAATGATCACCATTATGACAGGATGTGCAGAACCCAACAATATGGTTAAGGTTAAATGTTCTCCATAACTTTTTGACTTTGTGGAAGATTTTAAATGATTGGCACAAATATGTACTATCATGAGACTTAGTGTTTATAATATTTACGGCACAACATCAAGGTGATGATTGCTTAAAAGTCAAGAATTGCTCATTCATATCCTTTGCGGATGGGAATTTAGCTGTCTTTCAGACTGTCTTGTTTGATAATTGTAATAAGATCCCAAATATGAAAAAGCTTTGACAAATAGAAATGGTAGCATTCGGTGGCTTAATGGGCCTTTAATGTATCTGTCATCTTATACACTTGTCCATTCGATAAAAACTTAGATCAGTAGTATATTTGATAATAAATTATCTAGAAAAAAACAACAATTTTCAAAAAAGAAAGCAAATTAATTTAGATATTTTTATTACATCGATGATTACAAAACATATTAATATTCTCACTGAATTTTCACATGAACAGTTCAATTACATTGTGTATTCAATGTAACTAATTACTAGTGCAAAACTAAACTCACTATAAAAAAGTATGTTTTATTTTAATATAGTCGATTTTTAAAAAAAAAATCAACTTGAATTAAAATGAGCATAATTAGCAAGATTTACAAAAAAATAAAATGTTATCTCTATAGTTTGAATATTATCTTCATTTAGAATATAAATTGATAATATATTGGACTATATAATATTATTTTGTTACGAAATTGACACATTTTGCAGAATAAATTGTTCATTTAAAGCAGCATAATTATTATACTCTTTAAAATGCATACTGTCTTTTTAAGTAAAAAGGGGTGAGCAATTTTTGCATGTCCCAATATAAAAATAGATTTTCCGTCATCACGTTTTTATTGGTTTTTGTTGTTTCCTTATGGCATATAAAGTCAGCATACCATTCATATGTAAATGATATTCAAAATTGTTTCACATTTATCGAAAAGGTATGTTACATGTCTGAAAATGCAAATATCGGATAACGGCATAAAAATCAGAAAAATAACCTTTGTATTAAATGTTACGATGAAGAATTTTTTTTAAATAATCACTCCCGCTTGTCCAGCAAATGCAATTATACAGCGCTGTCGTCTTGAATTGTGTTAACCAAAATTATCATAATAATTGAATTGAAGCTGCTGACATCATAAAAAAGTCATTGAATATGCATGTATAATTTTTGACTCCTCTAACTTTCATAATTGTGTTTCAAAATAACAATTTATTAGCAAATATGAAATATGATTGACATACATTGCAACGTATTCCATTGACAACTGATTTCATTTTCAAACTTAATAGATCAATATTCAAATTGTGATATATATGAGTTAGGATTTCAGACTAATGTTTGGTGGAGATGTTTCTAAGGTGATTACTATAACACGGATGACTCAAAGGAAAACAATATTTTGCAAGTTGGGTTTTAATAACCTTTAAAAAGAAAGAGTTTTTCATTCTTACAGTAACAGTTGTGATATTAAACTTAATAATTAAAGCAGGTTAAGTTTGTTTTATCTGGTATGTTTCCTTTAAACTGGTGAATTATTTCATTGGCTTCACCATTTTTGGATCTATCTAGTATCAGTTTATTTAATGCTTGTACAAATTTAAACACATGTAATTAATATTAAGCCTTAGAGGCAAGGATGTAACTAATACTGAATTTCGGTCTATTCTAAAAGACTGGCTGGCGTTTTCATGTAAGGTGTAAATAATGTGTGTACGTTGGACTACGGCTTTGAATTTAGGTTGGTCTCATACCTGGTTTTCAAATCAAACTATGTATCACTGGATTATTGCAAAAAGCACTGCTTTAAAATCTTTAAATAATAATTAGGATTTATCATATATACATGTAATGTTATACGAGAACTGTTTCAAAGACAAAAATGCAATATTGACGACAATAAAAGGAAAATTATGATGACGATGACGATGATAGTGATGACAATAATTGAAAAGAGGAAAAGCTTTTTAGTTGACGTCAAGCTTTAATAACAAACGTAAAAAAACACTCAAATCAAACTGAAGAATATGCTCAAGACATGACAATTCTAAGATGCAAATGTGCATGCTAAATTAAAGCAAAACGTTGTAAGATGTTGAATACAACGTACATTGAATTTATTCTTGTCCTGTGTAGATGAAATGTTTTACAAATATTATTTCATACAATTAGTACATATCAAACGAACTATGTTACTCATGTGTCAATTTTTTAGTCTATATATAACACATTTATTCAATTTTTTTTTTGTAAAGCAGATTTAATTTTTTCTGGAAGAAGGTCAAATTCTTCTATGTTGTCAAAATATATGTCTCGAGCTTTTTGACGTAGTATTGAGCTGATAATCTTGTCGCCCGTTTCAAGTCCGTATCTTTCACCTATTCGTAATGATTTCAAATAGTCCGTCTCATTTTTAGAATCCATGTAGAAACTTCCATGAAGATTGAAACTAACTTCTTCTCTAGAAAAAATATGTGATATGTTTGTTTTGACATAAAAGTCCTTTTCATCAGCTTTATCCAGCTCATGTCTCCTCAGAGCTAGTTCTATAATCTTGTAATGACTCGCATCTGATATTTGGTATATTGTTCTTGATGCTTTGAACTGTTGAAGAGTATTCTCTGAAGCAAGATAAATGCACCTTTCCTTTAGTTCTTCTAGGTTATACATTTCAGACAAATGAATATGCCGGTACAATTGCTTCACATCCCTTATGTGCATTTTCTCTACTGTTTTCACGAGTATGGTTTGGCAACGTTTCATCATATTTCTTACGTCATATTCATGAGCCAAAGGAAGAAGCATGTACACGTTTCTTTCTGTAAAAAAGACGTATTTCTAGATTCATGATGTACAACAAGGCTAGATGGGGGGAAATGAATAGTTTAAAGGGCATTTTATTTAAATAGGTGAATATCAATCGAACACTTTTTTCTTTTCTTTTTTCATTTTAAAAGGCAATTGTAAATTGTATATGATAATTAATATAAAGTTCCGATTTGAATTTAATTCTTGTTTTAAGGATACATAGTGTAATTTTTGATGAAACGCGAACATGAACCAGATTGCCCCTATAGAAGTTGGACAGAACAATTCATATCCGCATTTTACAAGGAGACTTATCTGTTTTTTAAATCCGATTTGGTCATTCCGTTTATTCTCACCGAGAAGAGTGGCATGATCCTCCTCCTCATACCTTATAGCTTTCATATACACATTATATTGTCGAAATGATATCATTACATACTAACACATTATATTTACAGTAACGCATACATATATCATTCATTCTAACACTACACGTGATTTTGTCACTGTAGACAAAGGAGAATAAAAACCGGTGTTAAACTGCCAATAAACACTGGTTATGGACTACTTGGATATTTGGCTGTTATGTTTTCACCCACGATTGTATAGTTTACAAAGCCTTTTAAAGCAACAATAAAAGCATTTTTATTTATATTTTCAGTTCTTATAATGTTTTCTTTTCATACAATACCGAAATAATATCTCACATACACTTACGCCATATATTTGATCCATATCCGTTTATAAATATTTTGACAAAACGGCGCAAATACGTAAGCAGCGTAATGACGTCATCCTAAGTTAACAACTCATTTATAAACAAGCTGACTTTCTTTCATTTATACAAACATGATAATTGGGGCGCTGACGTAAACACAATACGACGTAAGTTTTTATTGTTGAAAACTTGATAAAATAACGTTTTTTTTCTTATTATCTTTTTTGTTTAATAATATCTATATCTTTGCAATATTAGGGTGCGAAAATCGAATAGCGTTACACCGGAAGTTATTTCCGCTTGAAAAAATAACATTAGTGATCTTCCTTATTTTATCGTGTTAGAATCGAAATAACATCGGCCTGAGAGGTGTATATCGGCTATTTAACACCGGTTTTGTCGTTTTGATGCGAGAAAATTAACCACTCAGGCCTACGGCCTTCGTGGTCAATTCCTACGCATCAAAACTCCAAACCGGTGTTAAATAGCCGATATACACCTCTCAGGCCGATGTTATTTCTTAATTAATATAATATATTTATTATTCAAATATTAATTTCAATATATGACCTATCATATGTGCTGAAACAAAGTATACATGGTTTATTCGAGTTCTATATATTTCACACTTTTAAGGCACAACATCAAACAATATTATTTTCAGATAATTTAGGTAAACTTTGAAAACAGTCCCACAATTTGGTACATTTTAGGGAAATTTTATATAAAGCGTTTTAAGTGTAGTTAAATAGTCATACAAGTGTTTAAAATGACTGGGGTAACATAACACTTTGATCATGTGATTTGTTAGCTGAATGTTCTTATTTGTTTCTGAATATTGATCAATAGGAAAATATTCTTTGATAACGATGATATTATATACTATATAGAGGTTCCTCATTTCTAAAAAAAACGAGAGCCTTTCTTACAGCCAAGATTAGATTTCACTTGTAAACTTTATGATAAATTTTACAAACAAACTATGTTGTCATATAGTTCCCATTATCCACATTTCGATTTTTGCTTGCGTTTTAATTAACAGATAATCACGATAATATTAAAATTTAAAAAATCATGATATTAACCTAATATTTTTATATTTATACATGTCATACCGGTTACTTTCTGCATCTTGTCAGGATAAATACATCTCAGGAACTCCACAAAGTCGTCATATCTTTTCCCGGGCAATGGTATCTCAGTCTCCGTTTTCTCCCGGAAGTGACCTTCTAGCATGGTACGAAACACAGGGGATGCTATACATAGCACCGACTTACAAAGTGGTATTTTGTGATTCTCTACAATCAGTGTTAGGTCTGCGATTCCATTTTCTTCACAAAATTCTTTGTTGATCAACGTCTGTTTATCCTTTAGTTCTTCTTTTTCAGAACTGCTGCTTCCTATTTTCTTTTCTTGTGACATTCTGGAAACTAATACGATATCAGAATATTCGGCTGTATGAGCTGATATTATCTGAAAATGGTAAAAGCATTTTGGGTCTTTTGAAGTTATAGAAACCGGTTAGACTTACCTCAAATACTTAATATTAATGACCTTTTTTTGACATAGCTAGATATGCAAAAACAATTATGGCAAATACAGATATCTCAATCTTAAGACAGGCGTTCAGAACATTTATATTTTGCAAGCAGCTAAATGTATGTTTACTTGTGGTGTATTCATGGAAATTTCGTTTGCATAAAACATGTCGACCTCACAATTTTACGGTAATCTTTCACGTTTGATAATTCATTTATCGTAAATGAATCAAGATGGCTTAATAGTTTAAACGGTTACTGAATGATATATATATATATATTGTTTGCACGACGTACATGCGAAAGCAAAATACCGACCGTGCCGGGGAAATACGCTACGGCGAATTATATATCTTGTATAAATGTTATATATATTAAATGTGTGCTAGTCTTGATCATCAAGGAGAGATTATTTTATAACAATTTGACCATTTTTGGCAGGACAATGTGCCGAACGCTTGTGAATCTAAATGTGTGATGCTGAAGTCGTAAGATAAACTAATCAAGTTCATGGCATATGTCCAGATAATTGTCAAGTATTTAGACAAAATGACACGAGTATGTTGTTTATCATGCATGGTACGTCAGCTAAACTTGACCTCTTTGAAAAGTCTGTTTACAATGTACATGTATTTTTTTTTCGTGTTCAAAACAAACACATATTTTACATAATTTTTTCACAAAATTCTAATACACTGTAAGAAATAAGCCCATGGTATGCAAGATGGGTAGTGTTTTTGCATAACAGTTTTTAATGTTATGCATGTTGATAATTGTTTTGTTGCAATACATTCATTCTATTGAGAAAAGACTTGACAAAATCAATATATAACAGGTAGATAAATGATATTGACAAATTCCTTTTCGACCTATATCAATAGACAGAAGCGATAACCATTCTTCCATCTAATATAACTATGAAGTTGTCGATTGACACCACCTTTAGAAACACGGAACATGTCGAACTATTCCGATATTTCCCGAGCCTTTCATCGGTCTTAGCAAAGAATTTTACAATCGTTTATAATAGTTCGTTTTGAGGTGATCAAATATTTGAAAATAAAAAGTATAGCAAGTTAAAAAAAAGTTTTCAAGACATTCTTATGGAAAGCCATGGCTGTCTGATATTGTTCGTTTTCAATTTATTTAACCATTTGGATAACATATAAGTTAACTTCAACTATATATGACTTGAAATAACCGGAATCCATTTTTTTTAATCCACAGTTACAATATATGAAACCATACCGTCAGTGTATGAAACCGAGTTAGCAATATATAAGTTGATTTTCTCAATATATGATTCCAATTCTTCAATATATTGTACCAAAGTAGTCATGTATGGAACCAGATATCCTTATATGAAACCGAATTATCAATATAGTAATTCATTTTTACAATATATGAAACCGTTTTATCAATGTGTGGAGCCAAAGTATCAATATATTAGTTGATTATCACAATATATGATACTAAGTATTCAATATATGGAACCAAAGTAGCAATGTATGGAACCAGGTGTCCTTGTATGAAACCGAATTATCAATATATTAATTCATTTTTACAATAAACGAAACCATTTCATCCATATATTGAACCAAAGTATCAATATATAAGTTGATTATCACGTTATATGATACCACGTCCTCAATATATGGTACCAAAGTAGCAATGTATGGAACCAGATGTACGTATATGAAACCGAATTATCAATATGTTAATTCATTTTTACAATATATGAAACCATTTTATCAATGTATGGAGCCCAAGTATCAATATATAAGTTGATTATCACATTATATGATACCAGATCTTCAATATATGGATCCAAGTAAGTCATGTATGGAACCAGATGTCCTTATATGAAACCGAATTTCAATATATTAAATCAATTTTACAATATATGAAACCAGTTTATCAATGTATGTAACCGAAGTTGCAATATATAAGTTGATTTTCACATTATATGATACTAGTTCTTCAATATATGATACCAAAGTAGCAATTTATGGAACCAAAATGTCATTATATTGACGGGACTTTTTAAAAGGCTGTTTTCTATCCTTACATCGGTATTACAGTTCCGCGCCAATATTCCTTGTTGTTGAACTGTCAAAAGACTAGCTTGCGTCACTGATTGCATACTGCACATTTTTTAAATAAGGAAATATTTAAATTTAACGTCACATTCACTTAAAATGGGCTGGGCAGGCAAAACTGATCGTTATATATGTACGAGTTGTATGTCATAATTTAAACTGCTGAGTCGTACTGACCATTAACAAAAACATATCTAAAAAATAAGTTCATCTCGACCTTTACCTTTGATCAAAAATGGGCATGGCCAGTAGGACACATCAAGATTAATCTACTCACAAAGTTTAAAAATAACCAGTCACAAAATAATTGATTTCATGAAAAAGTGTATGCATTGTAATAACAGAACCCAGTGACCTCGGCCTTTGACTTGTTGACTTGAAAATAGGCTATTTTGGTTCCATATAATGAAAATTGCTATCATAGAATGTAACATCAACTTATATACGACTACTTTGGTTCCATACATTAATAAAATGGTTTCATATATTGTTAAAATGACATAATATATTGATAATTCGATTTCATATAAGGGCATCTGGTTCCGTATATGGCTTCTTTGGTACCATATATTGAAGAACTGGTATCATATAAAGTGATAATCAAGTCATATATTGCTACTTTGGTTCCTTGTATTGATAAATTGGTTTCATATATTGTAAAAATGACATAATATATTGATAATTCGGTTTCATATCAGGACATCTGGTTCCATATATGGCTATTTTGGTACCATATATTGAAGAATTGGTATCATATAATGTAATAACCAACTCATATATTGCTACTTTGGTTCCATACATTGATAAATTGATTTCATATATTGTACAAATGAAGTAATATATTGATAATTCGGTTTCATATCAGGACATCTGGTTCCATATATGGCTACTTTGGTACCATATATTGAAGAATTTGTATCATATAATGTAATAACCAACTTATACATTTCTACGTTGGTTTCATAAATTGATACATTGGTTTCATATATTGAAAAATGAATTAATATATTGATAATTCGGTTTTATATAAGGACATCTGATTCAATACATGGCTACTTTGGTACCGTATATTGAAGACCTGGTATCATATAACGTGACAATCAACTTATATATTGATACTTTGGTACCATATATTGAAGAATTGGAATCATATATTGAGAAAATCAACTTATATATTGCTAACTCGGTTTCATACACTGACGGAATGGTTTCATATATTGTAACTGTGGATTGATATAATGGATTCCGGTTAAATAAGAAGGTGTTTTCAATTCATATGTAGTCGAAGCGAACTTATATTTTATCCAAATGATTACATAAATTGAAAAAAAACAATATCAGACAGCCATGCCTTTCCATACATTCTACTTTCCGTTTCGATGTCTACACTTGTTTTGAAAACATAATTTCTCACGATTCATTTATGCAAATAAATTTTTATCAACGATCGTTTTGGTACCAAAACAAATCAAAACATATTAAACATTCATTAAGACTTAAATGCATATTTGTATGTAATAAGTAAGTAATGCATATATAAACTTACCCGTATTATTTCTGTCTGTTAAAACTAAATTTGGATTTTCCGAAAATTCTAGTTTCGTTTTCAGCTAGGTCAGACTTGCATTTAGATATGATGCGGTTCTTTGTTTAATTTCCAACATGTTAAAGTCATTTTATATGTCTGAATTCTGTATAAATATTTGTTACGTTGACTAAATATGCTGAATAAAAGTACAGAATATGTGAGATTTTATTATAAATATATTTAAACCATTTCGACGAGTAAGTAGGCCAAATGTAACAACCTATTTATTTTTATAGTTATACCACGTTTTCCTTTTTTTTTTTTAAAAAAAACAACACAAATATGTCCTGCAAAATCTCTGAAAGGGTATTTACTTGAAATTCTGAGTGTTACATGAAAGGTCATAAATAATCTTACTACAATATATTTCACAATTTATCTATTTAAAGCCAATATCTCGAATTGTTTCATTTAACACCAATAAGATATTTTTCCGTAGATAAAACAATAATAGAATGAGTGTTATTGTTTTTATTCAATTATTAAGTTTATACCAAATTTATGTTAGTTTGAATGTGTTGGTATCTATTCAGTATTTTTTTTGCTGAAGGAAACAATGGCATGTCCTTGACTGCGTTTAAACCACGCAGCTAGAGATTCTGAGCATATGTATGACGCATTGATTATTTACGTTTTTGTGTTCATAATTTGTTGATACAGCTTTGAATTAAAAGCTAACCTTTCCAATTCGGTTCAGGAAAATTCCGTTTTCCGTTAAACAGAATTTTCGTATTAAGTCCAATTTCAATAAAACGTAAACCATCATAAAGTCAATATCTGAGGACATAGAAACCGGTCGGTAATGTATAAAAATGAGAAATATAACTAGCTGTCAGTTATTCTTTTCGTATATTAAATGCAAACACATAAAATGTGCTGGGGCTTAAAAGTAACAATACATATCAAGCAGTTACACTTTATTATAAAATACACTTTATGTACGTATATACATACACTTTTCACATGTTTTATAAAGTAAAGAAATGAAGCTAGTATTAAAATGTATACAGTACACATACATTCTCTACAATATATCTAAATATATTATGTAGTCATTACATCGTTTATAACAGAATGTTGTCATAACACATTAAAGATAGTTACATTGTAAACCCGATGTGTTGGTAAAAGCAATAAAAAGGCCAAGACCTATTTAGTGTTTTCACGTTTCTTGATTCTATAATATCGTTTTCGGTTGTTTTGTTATTAATATGAACTATCGTTGTTCCAAGACGTACATATTTGAATACCATCGTCTTTTTAGCTGGCCGTTCGCAAACTTTAACCTTGATTATAACTTTTTAAATTCTTGATGTATTGTCTTCATACTTGACTACAACAACCCTTTGGACAAGATCTTTTAATAGACCGGCTATCCTTGACTTTCAAGGTTAAATGTCTAAAGTTTGCTTGTTTTAGCAGTTTCTGTTATCTATTAGTGGCTATTAATTTGTTATTCTTGAATGGATTGTCTTCAAACTTGAACATAATGTATTTTTAGGATAGACTTTCAAGTTATCAGAGATATTTTGACCATCACTCATAAATGACATTGATCTTGAAGGTTAGATAAATGAAATTTCATTTTTTTTTCATCTACTTATTCATTTTTATATTTTTATGTATGTATGTATTTTTTTATTTATATTGTTTGCTTTAACTGTCTATTACTTTGTTTTTGAGAATGGATTGACTTCATATTATAACACAATATTCTTTAGGAAAAGACAAGCCTGTAAATTAAACTCAAACTTACCTTGATTCTTTTATGACTTTGATCTTGGAGGTTAAGTTATTGAATTCTCACTGTTTTTTTTTTTTGTAATATTGACTTTAACTTGGTAATATTTTAATGGATTATCTTCATACTTTGAAAAAAATAACAATATGGACAAGACCTTCTAACAGGTTGAACTGCCCTTGACCTTGGGCTTTGAATGAATTTGACTGGCCATATCAAATTTATAAACTTTGGTTAAATTGTAATTATTTTGTTATTTATAGCAATATGATGGTAAAAAAAGAAACAAGCAACAAACACGCAAATCATTTCATAGATTATGGGTATCATAATACAGTAAGTGATAATCAAAGTTTCCTTATAGATTAATTTAATGTTTTTCACTCGTTCTATATTTCACGACACATGCTTAACTCCTGTTTTGTAAAGCAGCTTTTACACTTTCTGGGAGAAGATCAAATTCTTCCATATCTTCTTCCTTGTCAAGAAGGATTTGTAACTTTTCCAATAAGCTTGACTCAATGTTGTTTGAGGTATTTGTAGTAAATTTAAATCTTTCAATTATTCTCAATGCTTGGCAAACGTCGCTTGCCCTTCTTCCATTTGTAATTAATTTCCCATTTAAGTCACACTGCACCGGTTCCTCAGAATAAAATTGGAGTTTTGTCTTTGCTGTAAAAACCTTTTCGTCAGCTTTATTCAGCTCATGTCTTCTCAGGGCAAGCTCTATTATCTTACCGTGACTGGCATCTGTTATTTGGTACATTTCTTTTGCAGTTTTAAATTGCTTAAGAGTATGCTCTGAAGCTAGATAAATGCACTTCTCCTTCAATTCTTCTAGGCTATACATTTCAGAGAAGTGGATATGCCGGTACAATTCTTCAACATTCTCTTTGTAATTTTTCCTAACTGTGCGCATGAGCACGTCTTGGCAACGTTTCATCATCCTCTCTACGCTATATTCATGAGCCAAAGGGAGAATCATGTAGACGTTCCTTGCTGAAGTTAAACCAATTTACTAGTTTAGTTTCAAGGGATACACGATGTTGTTCAACAAACAGACAGTGGCATGATATTTAAAGGTATGATCCTCCGAATGGGCACTACAAGAAACTGACAACAAAGGAAAGTAACGTGCCTTAAAGAACACCTGTATGCCAAATGTAAACACGATTTACCGTATGGTTTACGAGTTTTGGATATTTTTTAACTTAAGCTTGGCTATCAGAAGGGCTCTTTTTCAGAAATGAGGAAACTCTAGATAATCTACAATAACATCATTATGATAAATGTTTTCCTATTGATTATCGTTAAAAAACCCAAATAATGATATTCAGGTAGCAAATCGCACATGTAAAATTATTGTTTCTTCGCAAAAAGTTTTAATATATATATAAATAAAACATTATCCTACCTATTATAAACACTTGTCTGTCTATTTTGATTACCCAATTAGTAAGCCTTATTAGAAATATCCATAATATTAATCGAAATAAGGCGCTGTTCTCAAAATTCTAAATTATCTTATAAGAATATTGCTTGCTCTTGCCAAATATAAAATACTTTTATTGTCCAGTTTTGATTTTATTAGACTTTAAAAATATCAGGTACCATATTTGTTAATAAATTTAGTACTTTTTATCCAATAAATGCCTATAATAATTATATGATTATTAAAATAAAAAACTTCTCATTCCTGGAGGGTTTCTGAGAGATACATAAATAAAGTTAAACGAAAGAAATAATAAAGAAAAGGTTGACCCGTGTGGGGTTTGATCTCACACTTTAAAGTTTCAATGAAGTTAACAGTTATTCTAGCCTTTTTGGATATCTTCAAAGAGGAGGTAATGTTTTGTAGTGGGGTGATACCTTAAGTCATTATATTCGCAGTACTTTTTTTAAACAGTGTGGATGAGAAGTAAAACTATTATGTATACGTCTGCCAACTGGTAGCTCTAAGTAAATGCTGAATCTATCATATGTTTCAACATCATTTGCAGAAAAAAATAGTTTAGATGGTGTGTTGAACTATTAACATTATAATTAAAATCATGCCATACCGGTTATCACCTTCATCTTGTCAGGATAAATACATCTCAGGAACTCGACAAAATCTTCATAATTCTTTCCGGGTAATGGTATCTCCGACTCTGTTTTCTCCCTGAAGTCACCTTCAAACATGGCACAAAACACAGGTGAAGCGACACTAAGTACTGCCTTAGATACTAGTATTTTATGATTTTCAACAACAAATGTCGCATCTGCCAATTTGCCATCTTTGTGAAATTCGTCGTTCATATTCATCTCTGTAGACAAGGGTTGACTTTTTCTTTCGAATATATATATAAAAAACATTTTAACAAGCTTTGATTAATTTACATTTGTAGTTTTAAATACTAAACAATGAACTGTTAAAGTAATTGATATATGAAGGGAAAAAAAGACTTTAAAATACAAACAAATAAAAGAACAAGGCAGAGAAGTACATGAACATTTTTGAAAGGGAAATCACTTAAGAACAAGCAATTATCATAGTATTGCAAGCAATCCATAAGTCCCCTACTGGTTAGAACCCTAGCAACATTCTGAAGGGACATTGGCCATTTACTTATGTTTCTTTTTTAAGTAAACTTGTTGAAAAGTTCTATAAAAGTGATCACAGGAAACAGTTTTTATGTACAGACAGACAGACGGACTGAATAACACTCTAATGTTATTTTTTTAAACATCCCTGATATCAAAATATAACATTTTTTAAAGCAAAATTCATTAAAAGCAGATAACTCTTGAAATAAAGATGCAAGACGTCATACATGATGTGAGTGTTACAAAGAACAATTAGTAATGAAGGTGTTGATAATGAATGTTTATTTTGAATTTGAAGTAAAAGAAAGTTAAAAGAATGAATAAGAAAAATTCAAAGTTTAAGGAGGAGATAATTCTGGAAATTAAATGCTAGATTTATAAACCTTGTCATAATATTATGATGTGGGAGTTTGAAGAAAATCCTATAATGATTGAAGAAGTTGGATTAAAAATTATCAATTTCTCAAGTTTAAAAGGGGCATCATTTTGGAAATAGTCTTGCTAGAGTATTGATCTTTCTCACAAATGTTGAGTGATAATAAGAAACATATATATGAAGTTTGAAGAAGATACATTCAGAAATAAAGAAGTTATTTAAAAAAAACAATATTTTTTCATGAAAATTCTAAGTTCAAAGGAGGAAATTCTGATAAATTTTGTGCTAGAGTTGTAAACCTTGTCACATATGATAAGTTGGTGACTAGAAACTTATATTTAAAGTTTGAAGAAAATACCTTAAGAAATAAAGAACTTATAGTGATAAAGTGTCAAAACTAGAATCAGAAATCTTGAGATTCAGTCTATTTGTTGCCATAGCAACTAGAATTTTCAAACCGGTAAACCGGTAGGGGACTAAAAAGAAAATCTAAACAGGTTCTGTGGTTGGATAATTACAAATGTATATATATGTCCGGTTTACTAGGTTAATCGACCATTTCTTTTATCTTGATATAGTGTGCCATTTATTTTGAAAATGGCCCTAAATTACACATACGGTGACATACCTGCAAACCTCTGAAGGGAGGTATTTACATGCAGACCTGGGGTAATCACTAATCGTAATCATAGATTTTTTAATTGATTACATGATTACACTGTAATTATCATGTAATTGATTACCTTGCTCAAAATTGATTACATTAATTGTAATTAACCAATTACAGCTTAAATTCAGTCTGTAATTATGATTACAATTTGATTACTATCAGATTTTACATGAAACTATTGAAATTCAAATGATTTATTTCACATGTTACAGTTTTAACTTATACTCCTTTATAATGATCTTTAATCACAAATTGTAGAGTGTTAATTGATTTTGATACACAATAGCAACATATTTATTGAATAGAAAGAATGTTCTCTATTGATATCCATATTTGAGGTAAATAATAGAAATTGTCATAATAAACAATGATTGTCCATAAAGGAAGTAAAATATCAAGTGAGATGTTTTAAGACATCACTCACAATGAATAAGTTTTAATCCATACAGTTAAAAAGATATACATCATTGTTTGGCTGGTATTCTAACCAAAATGTCAAATCATTGGATTTATGATGTCTTTGAATTTCCTAAAGAGACATCTGGAAATGTGACAGCACAGTGCAAATTGTGCCCTAGGAAGATAAATGGAAACACTAAGTCACATTCAAATTTCATTACCCACATAAAGGTATGTTAAATTTTGTTTCACACATTTTAGTTTAACCATGTTTTTAAAAAGTTTCAAACAATGTAGATAACTTCTTTACTTTGTATATTCTAGAGTTTATGTCAGATGCATATTACCATATTTTAATTATTTGCAATAGTTATTTTGTAAGGTGATAGACAATGTGTCTATATTATAATGGATGCTTTGTACCGTTGAACAGGTTGGTGAAAATGCCCGATCGGGCTTATGACATAAAAAATCATATTTCTAGAAAAATAATGAAGAGATTTCTTTTAAACTTTGTTTATTGAGCATAATGTATAACATCAACATAAAGAAAAATATTTGGTAACTGCCACTTTTGTGAGAATTATTTCCCCTTTTTCATATTTATGTAACACATAGTTTTCCAAATCCTTAAAAAATATGTTACATATACAAAGTATAAAAGATAAAAGCTTAAATAACTACTTTAATATCCATTTCATTGCGCCAACACCTGTCAGAAAACATTTCATTCAGTTTTCAAAGGAAACTTCAAAGTACATGTATAATGTTCAGTGTCAAAGAATTGTCAAAGTATTTATGTCAGAAACAGAATATTAAATCCAAATATAGAGAATAAAGGTACTGGCGCAATAATTCTAAGCAAAGTGATGATGCTGGACACATTTCTGTTAAGAATTTTACATTGCAACATATTTTTTAAGAACTACAAAAATTATGTATCATATAAACATGAAAAAGTGACAATAACCAATAATTTTTCTTTCTGTTTATGTCATATGTTATGCTCAAAAAACAAACAAAGTTTAAAAGAAATATCTTTATTATTTTTCTAGGAATATGATGTTTTATGTCATAAGCCCGATCGGGCATTTTCACCAGCCTGTTGAAGTGTTTGTAAAAAATTGATAATTTCTTTGTAAAGCCTATTGTCTCTTTGAATACCCATACAAAAATTTATTGTTTTCACACCTTTTTTAACACATGTATACAGCATACTGTACAATTGACACTTTTCAAAATTTCTGTTGCAGAGAGTTAATTATGAAACCTACACCAAGAAGACTGAGGACCATTCTTGCATCATCGGCCCGGCCCCTGTAGAGCGTTTGTTTAGTGTTGCGGTGGAATTTTTCCGTCCTGATAGATGCAGTCTGACTGACAGGCGGTTTCATGAACTTATGATGCTAAAGTGCAATGCTAAAATATGATAAAGTGATGTGACAGTAACTAAAAGTGTGTTAAATTGATGACTGTTGATGAGCTGGAAATCCTTTGTGTATATAATGTACATATTAAATAGCATTAAGAAAGTTTTGTTTATAGTTATACATTGAATGTAATCAATTATCAATCAATTACTTTCTTAAAGTAATTGTAATTTAATTGATTACATAGGCAAGTCTGAGTAATCAATTGTAATCAATTACAATAAAATCTGAAAGTAATTGTAATTAAATCAATTACTGATCAATGTAATCATCCCTAGGTATGTTTACATGAAACATTAAATGTTCCATGAAGTCTAATAAATAACTTTACTTTGCTTAAAACAACATCTCGAGTTGAGAATTTTCTACATTATACCTTTAATTTTTCAATTCCATTTGTATCACTCTTTCATTTTCAAAAAAAAAGAGAGAGAGAGAGAGAGAAAAAAAACAGTTTTTTTTTACATAATATTATTTTAAGTTTTCCTACAAAACTCTATAAAACAGTAACATTTAAACCCATGTTATGCCCAACGAGTACTACTGTATTTCCATAATGGTCTTTAAATACAGTGCAACCTTTAAACATTGTAATGCTTTTTCATGTAAGAATAGTTTTATTGCAATACAATCAATCTGTTGAGAAAAGACTTAAATATTATCAATATATTAAAGCTAGATAATTGTTATGTACAGAATCTTTTTCAATATATATCAATAGATAGGAACGATAATCATTCTTTTATTTAACATTAAGCTTATCTAAGATAAGTGTGAAAGAAGTCGATTGACACGACCTTTAGAAACAAGAAGCCTTTCATAGGTCAGAGCAAAATTGTATAATGAATAGTTCGTTTTCAGGTGATTAAGTTTGAAATAAATTAATTAAGCTGTAACTAGAAACTAATTAAAAATGATAAACCATCGTTTTCAAGAATATATTAAATATTAATAAAGACTTTTAAATACATATTTTTTATGTAATAAGTCAGTTATAGATGTATAAACTTACCCGTATTCTTCCTGAATGTTAAAGCTAAATGTAGTTTCGTTTTCAGCTAGGTCAGATGTAACCGATGATGCGTATCTTTATATAATTTCAAATATTTTAAAGTTATTCTGTATAAATAAATGTTACTTAGACAAAAATGTATTTACTGAATAAAAGCAAAGGATTTGTGGGATGTTAAACATATTTAAACCAGTAGGTATTAACACGAAACCATATATGAAGGGTCAATAGGCCAAATTTAACAACTTTTTTTAATTTTACACCAAGAATAAACTTTTCCACATCTAAATGATAGAGATTTATGAGAGTTGTTGCTTTTATTCAAATATTTAGCTTATATAAAATTTGTTTTAGTTCGAATGTGCAGGTGGCTATAAGCTCGATCCGTTCCTGAGCAATGGGTATTTGTTGCTTATGGAAACAAATGCCTGTTCCATACGGCGTTAGAACCTGCGCAGCTACAGATCCTGAGCTTACGTACGACGCGTCGATTATTATCTTTTTTTTTTGTTCATCATTTGTTGATACAGATTTGAATTAAAAGCCATTCGTGCCGATGGAATTCAGGAAAATGTCCTGTTTTTCTGTCAAACAAACGTTTTTATTAAGTTAAATTTCAATAAAAAGTAAACTATCATAAGGTCAATACCTGATGACATAACAGGCCGGTCGGCAATATATGAAATGAAAAAGATCAGTTATTGTCAGTTATGCCTGCAAGTCTAGTCAAATAAGTTAGCGTGTTATTTGCAATAACAAGCCAACAAGTAAACACTTCACTTAGTTTCTACGAATTTACATCCACTGTTTCCGAAAGTCTTATATATATGTACCTAAATTTTCCAACATTGATTTGAAAGTAA